TTATTTGATATCTTAATTTAAGATATTAACATTTTAATATAAATTTGAATGTTCACATGACACCTCAATGATATCTTTATCTTTTTTTTGTTTATTTTTGTTTATAATTTATTATTAATAAAGTTATTATTTGATAATTTAATTTAAGAGATTAATATTTTAAACTTAATTAGGAGTCCAATAATGCCGGATGAGCTCCCTTTTCTCCTTTTTCATTTTTTTTTGTTTTTACACTTTTTTAATTAAATTAATTTTGTTAAAAAAAGGTCAATAGAGTGTCCACATAGCACCCTATCTATTTTTTATTCTTTTTTTTTTCTTTATCTTATGTTTTAATCAGATAAATTTTGTAAAAAAAGGTACTAATTGATGTAGATATAAAAATAATTCGTATTCGGTAGATTTATATCCATAGTGATTTGATAGGGGATAAATTTTTTTTGTTTATATTATATAGATTTGTAATTGAATATTAAAAGCATTACTATTTACAATTATTTTTATTTAATTTTTTTTATATTTTTTCTACTTCAATAATCGTTACTCCTATTAAAAATATAAAAAAATATATACACAATTTTTTAATTCATTAAATTTACAATAAACATTAATTTTTTCATTCATTAAATTTATAATAAACATTATTGTGTAAGAACAACCAAAAAAAATTCTATCCACTGCAAAACCCGAACCAATATCTAGTATATTTGAAAGCTGCAAAAGACGACCAAAGAAAGTTTTGGTGGGAGGAGGACTGACTGAATTAATTACAAGAAGAACATGGATTGTGGTTGATCGATCTTTGAAAGAGAGGAGCGTAAATATTGCAGTTAGGAAGTATATATTACCTGCATCCGTTGACAACTACTAATATTTGAGCTTGGACAAGGTCTGAAAAATTTACATATTTAACAGCTTTGTATATAACCTATCTTATAATAATATTTTACATGATCCTTCAAGTTCTTGATCGATCCAAGGAAAATTATTCGATCCAAATCAAGCGTACGTGTGTATGGAGGGAAATTCTTGTACACTTGAAAAAAATACTTTCTTCTTTTCATTTTCTTAGGTGATATGTCAGTGTATTTTGTTAGAAATTCAGAACAAGAAATTGAGTTGGCAAGCAGTTATACTAGACAATTGTATAATATTGACCTCAAATTTGGTCTCTGATGCCTCTAATCAACTAAAAGTTGGTTGATTTCAGAGTGTTTTCTTCCCGCACGTCCGCAGGGGAGGTGCCTTTTCTTTTGGAATACATCAGAAATAGCTGCCATGCATTTCTTTGACTTGGATCATTGTTTGTTGCATACCAACCATTTAAAGAGAGAAAATAAAACTTGAACAGTTCCTGTAAGTAGAGACGCAGGTTTTGACATATGCAAGAATATGATACCCACTCCAAATGGCTGAAACCTATTAAATCTTGTTTATACCCACGTTTTCAAACTGTACCAATCAAAACTTACCATGAACAAAACACAACTTTTGAATGGAATCATGTCTATCATGGGAATAATCCTAATATGCCCTCCTTTTCTTTATGCTTACTTTGGGCGCCGTATATTTGGACAGAAACCTCTTACTTTTCTATTTCTTTTTCTTCTTCTTGTCTAGTCTACAAATTTCTCAATAAGACAGATGTCTAGGCATGGAAATTTCTTGGCACTGTCTGATGGATTCCAAGTCCAACCCCATGTTTTTGGCTAAAGAGGTAATTCACAAGAAAAATTAAACTTCATAAAATTATATTATATTATATATATTTGCCGTACGTGCCACATTCAAACAAAAGTGCAATAAGTCTTCGGATAGAATCAAATTGTCAAATTTATGCGACGTCCTTTTTATTTTTATTTTTTCCCATTGTTCAATGTTGAAGTTTCTTTGAAAGATGCCCCCGGTAAAAAAGGGGAGGGATAATTCTCTTTTTGCATATAAATATTCGTATACAATTGAAGTCATTCAACACGTTCAATTTTCAAAAGGAACCATAAATGACAAACTAAAGCAGAAAGAGAAAAAGCAAACAAAAGTTGCAACTAGATGTTGAAAAAACGGTCTACCACATTTAAAAGAAGAGAAAATTGTAGATTATATATTGGAAAACAATTTATACGTTAGAGAGAACCAGAAGGCGACTTAATCAGTAATTCCAACCATGCACCTAATCTTCATGCAATGTATATATGTCACCTAGTCTTCATGCAATCTATATATGTGACATATTTGGTTCTGCATGCAGCCACCACTATGTTCTTTTCTTAGTGGTCGCCTTTTTCCTTCTTTTGCGTATAAATTTCATGGTTTGGTTGTTTTCAAAGTTTTAATTAAATTCCCAAAATTATAAGCAATTTTAATTAAAATAATTGAATGGTGGCTTGTCCAAATTATTCCTTTTGAATTAACTATTGACAAATTACAAAAGGCTAGTCCTACATTTTTTTTTAATAAGAAGTTTTGAACTCGATATTTAATTTAGTTGATTCATACAATGATTTTTAAAATGTGACATCTAATAAATACGAAATTTAAATTTTAACATATGTAACTTTTTCTTTTATCTACAAACTGCAATCTATTTTATAAAAAAGAAAAGAAAGAAAAAACTCACATTAAAAAATAAACAGGAAGCAAATTTGTCCATGTAGGTAGCGTTATAAACGAATAGAATTTTTAATAAATTATTCGTGAACGTGTTCGGTTTCTATTCGTTTTTATTCATTTATTAAACTTAACAAATGATCTTGAATCGTATTTTTATATTCGTTAATTAAATGAATCAAATACGATTAGAGTTCTATTCGGTTTATTTATATTTGTGAATAAACTCGTTTAAAGTTTATTTAAAACTTGTTCATTTATTATTCATTTGTTATTCGTTTGCTATTGGTTTATAATAATATTAACAAAATTACATTTATGATTGTTTATTTAAATTTATTTTATTATGATTTGTTTATTATTCATGAATATATTCATTTATATATGTTTGTAAATATGTTTATTTAATATTTACAAACGAATTTATTTAACTTAATTGAACTGAATACAAATAGAACATAAATTAAAAGTGAATATTTTATCATTTAAATGAATCAAACTTAAACAAATAAAATAATTCTTTTACTGAATACGAATCAAACTCAAATATCTTTAAAAATAAATAAATAAATCATAAATATATTCATTTATTTGTGTTTGATTCATTTATAGTCCTATATATAAGTTAAAGTTTTCTATGATTTTCTTGCACGGTATATTCATAATCAAGTTTAGTAAAAGTCAAGTTAAAGGGAAAAAAATGAAGGTTATATTTGATAAGAAAAAGAGAATTACAAGAAATCTATTCAATATATTTTCAAACAAGTTAGTATCTTTTATTCTACGTGGAAGAAAAATCATGCGCAGAATAGGGAATAGGGATCATGAAAAGACAAAATTTGATTGGTTAAGTATTATTTTATTTAAATTAACAGTCAAGATGATTTAAAAAGATAATGACCACTTTGAGCTTTCATGAGGACTCTAATTTCCTAATTGTGAAGTTGACATTTCAATAGCCAGCTTGTCATCCTGCTACACAAAAAAAAAAAAAACTTTAATTAGCTAATTGAATTCTCAAATATTTGAACAGTTTATTTATCTTAATTTTTTTTTTTTACATTTAAAATAGTTGAGAATTATATTTTAACTGTTAAAATTAAAAATTTAGTGTTTTATTAATAAATCACTAGTACGTTAATAAGTAAAATATGGAATAAAACATTTTTTATCTTCAAATTTTTAGATCATATCTGACGTAGCTAATGAATATCGAAGCCTTGAGTGAAAAAAAGATCAGACCAGAAACGTAAATGATTCGGTTCCACCGGTAAACAGTCAACAAAGACTAGATCCGAAACGTGACGTGGCGCTAAAGGAGAGACCAACTGACCAAGGCAGCACCCAGCCTGTCACCAGTCATAAAAGAGCCGGCCCGTCAAATTCGTTGACTTGGCTGGGAGCTCCTCTCTCCTCACATTTGTTTATTTTTTTCAATCACGTGGAACACGCCGCAACCTTTGGGGCGGTGGATTTCTTTCTTTATATGTTTTTTTGTTCCCTCTTTCTTTGTTTTCCTTTTGATTTAAAAGAACGAGTCAAACTCTTTGTTGACGAAACCTCTTTTTCTATCCAAGCTTCAACAACTCCATCCCTCTCTATATTTCCTTAAATACCAATATTTATTTAATTACACTGGTCAATTAATTGTAACTGTAATAATTCAATTTTTAAAAAAAATTTACTAACATTATCTTAAAATTTTCAATTTCAAGCAACCTGAAATGAAATTGTGTTGTTTTTCATAATATTTTGTTTAATTTGATACTATTTTATAAAAAATATTATTAAAAAAATTATAATTATATATAAATATCACCTATAAAAAATAAATTAATCAAATCAACTAATAAACCAAATAAATCTAATATAAAAATAATTTCAACCTGCTTATAACAAGACTTAAATGTGAAACTTCAAATTTCAAAACTTTCTAATTGTTTAATTTTATATTATTAATGAAGCTTTTACGGTAAAATCTCATAATAATAGTCAAATAAATTAATTTTGAAGTCCAATTAAATTTTGGTATGGTCTTAATATTCCTAAATATGTGCTACTAATAAAAAGTTACGGCTAATTGTCAAAGGAGGAAGGAACGAAAAGTGTTACCCAAGGTTACCTAAAAGTAAACCACGCCTCCAATCTGAACTCTGCTAGAAATTTGGTCAATGGTGATGGCCCGAAAAGGGTAATGGGCCATACAGAGTGGTGGATTAGTTTTCGGTTTTCACTCTCTTTTTTCTCTTTCTGAGGAGTGAAGGTGGGGTCAAGTGCCAGCTGGCAAACTGACGCACCATCTGACGTAACAAAATCAAGTCCCATCAAATTCTGGAAAATCCAAAATTTTAGACTATAGTATCTAATCTATCTGGTCTACGTTCCAAACCCTTTTTATAGGCGACCCCATCGCTCCGGTTGAAGACTTCACATACTTCACAAAACATATCACACGTTCTCAAGCTATCCCATTTCTCTTTCGACGCCATCTTTGGTCTCTCTTTCTCTCTTTCGTCTTCTTAGAATTCTTGATTCATTTATGGACAAAGGATGGGGTCTTACCCTTGATTGTGATCCTGTATCTAATTTCTTCCCCAAAAAGACCAGTTCCACCACGGGACCTTTCTTCAGGTTAAAGCAGCAATCAGACATGTTTCAGTTCCCTGTTAGCCTTGCTGGCTCCAGGGAGGACCGCCATGGAACCTCCTCTTCCTCCTCACCCTCTGATGAGAACCGGCTGGCGGTTGATGAGGTCGACTTTTTCTCTGACAAGAAACACAGAGTTGTTGATGATCGGGAGGATAACACAACCACTATTGTCAATATCAAGTCCGAAAGTTGTCAGGGTGAAGACGGTCCAGGTTCTGATTTGCATGTTAATGTAAGGTTTTTTTTTTTTTTTTTTTAAATTCCAAAACAAGTTTCCTTTTAAATATTATTTTGAAGTTACATTGAATTATTGTTGATGTTTATTTATTTTGTTTTGTTATAAATATATAGACTGGGTTGCATCTTCTCACGGCTAAAGCTGGAAGTGATCAATCAATGGTTGATGATGGAGTTTCATCGGATATGGAAGATAAGCGAGCCAAAAATGAGGTAAGAGGATGATACTAAAATCAAGTCACTACTTTTTCAATTTTTTGGTTCTTTTTAATTGACAAGCTAGTCATGTTCTCACTGAATGATTTTGTTCACTTGTTTTCAGCTAGCGCAATTACAAGGAGAGTTAAAACTAATGAATGCCGAAAATCAGAAGCTAAGAGATATGCTTAGTCATGTCAATAACAATTACAGTGCTCTCCAGATGCGCCTTGTAACCTTAATGCAACAGCAAAGAAATGAAGGAACCGAAACCACACAAGAATATGGGGTATTTAATTCTTTTTCTTGTTAGTATTTCTTATGATCCTAGATATTGTAATATCAGTGTTGATTTCAAATTACTAACCTAAATATCTTAAATGGATTCAGATTCAAGAAACAAAATCTGAAAAGAAGAAACTTGAGGTGATAATGCCTAGACAATTTTTGGACCTACGCCCATCAGTCACCGCTAAAGCGGATGAGCTGTCTCATTCTTTATCGGAAGAAAGAACACCTTCAGGGTCTCCTCCAAACATCTTAGAAGTTGCATCCAAGGATTATATCAAAAGCAAAAATACAATTTCTCAGTTTGATCAGGAAACTTCTAGTTTTCGTGATGCCAAGAGAATTGGTGGAGAAGAAAGTTCGGAATCTGAGGGCTGGGGTCCTAACAAAGTCCAAAAATTGAATCTTTCAAAGTCAATTGATCAATCCACTGAAGCTACCATGAGAAAAGCTCGTGTTTCTGTTCGAGCTCGATCTGAAGCTCCCATGGTATACTAATGTTTTAATTACTTGTGAAGATTCCATCTGAATTTATTGTCAATTTGTTGGAAAACTAATTAATTAGTTAAATTGATATAGATTACTGATGGATGCCAATGGAGAAAATATGGACAAAAGATGGCAAAAGGAAACCCCTGTCCTCGAGCTTATTATCGATGCACCATGGCAGTTGGTTGTCCGGTCAGAAAACAAGTATGTTTCAATTTTTTTTCAATAATGTGTTATTTTTAACTTACCTAGATTTAAATTCCCGAAATTAATTAGTATTTATAATAATTCTCAGGTTCAACGTTGCGCGGAAGATCGAACAATCTTGATAACAACTTACGAAGGCAACCACAATCACCCACTTCCTCCTGCTGCGATGGCAATGGCATCAACAACAACAGCAGCTGCTACCATGTTGCTATCAGGATCGATGCCCAGTGCCGATGGGATTATGAACCCAAATTTGCTTGCCAGGGCAATCCTTCCATGCTCCTCAAGCATGGCAACTATTTCAGCTTCTGCTCCTTTCCCATCTGTAACATTGGATCTTACTCAATCGCCAAACCCTCTACAATTCCAAAGACCGTCTACTCAATTCCAAGTCCCTTTTCCAGGCCATCCCCAAAACTTAGCGTCTGCATCATCCCCTCAATTGCCTCAAGTTTTTGGTCAAGCACTGTATAATCAATCAAAATTCTCAGGCCTACAGTTGTCTCAAGACATGGGGTCTTCAAAATTAGGCCACCAAGTTCCACATCCACAATTGCAGCAGCCTCAGCATTCAACACTAGCTGACACAGTAAGCGCTGCGACGGCCGCCATCACGAATGATCCCAGTTTCACCGCCGCCCTGGCAGCCGCCATCACCTCCATCATTGGTGGTGCTCACCCAAATATTACCAGCAACACTTCCAACAACAATAATAGCAATGCCAACATCACAAGCAGCAGACAATAGATCAGCAGTGTTCCTGGAAATTAATTAGAGGCGACTTTTTTTAACATATTTTTCCTTGTTATTAATTTTTTTTCCATGTTCTTTCATTGGGGGATGGGAAGGAAATTACATGTTTATATTTTTTGTACTGTAACATGTTGTGGGGGAGGTTATAACACGTACACAAACTTGATTCTTTGTTATTATAGTTTCATTTTGAACAATTCGATTCAGAGTTTCAAGTAAATACACACAAAAAAAGGAGCATGTATAATTTCCTTTTCAATGAGCAATGCCTTCTATTTTTAACTTATCTTTCAAGTACAATGAAAAAAATCTTCACGGCAAGAAAAAATGATTAAACGCTACATTTGCAAGAAAACAAAATAGTAATCTTGAAGAATACAAAAATACAATGTATAATTCCCACAAGAAAACAAAACGAATAATTTCTTGTCTGAGCGGAATATGCTATTCTAAGCGGTCAAGCAAATACGGCTAGCACCCTTTGACACGCAATTGATTCATCCTGAGAAGAGCTGAGACAGTGGACTTTAGAAAGAGACTTCCAGGCAACTCCGTGTGCCTTGAGTGAAACCAAACGAAAACGGGAAAAAAAAAGGACGGGATGGTATTTCTTTGTCTTTAGGTCAAACTTGTTCAATGAAGAAGATGTTGGATAGTAGTTTCGTGGATTGTGGTGAGGTGCAATTATTTTATTGAACAACTCAGATACGTTTGTTGACTTACCGTCCACCCACTTGATCGACATGATCCGTCATGTTCCATGCCAATATTTAACGTCTAATCATGTGTGAATTTTCAAACACTGAGGCGAGGAACCCAAACGTGGATCTGTGTGGGCCGCACCGTACCTCATCCGCCGTACAATTATCATCTTTCTTACGTTATTCACTTCAAGTTGCCTGCGGTTTTTTACTTTTATTTTATTTTATTTTTTAAGTTGCCTGCAGATTGGATTTCATCACATCCCACATGTTTCCATGTGAAAGGAGCCCTCTCCTTTGAATAGTATCTTCTGTATGCAGACTTTTATGTACGTGGTTCCGTTTAGGAAGTATTTAATATGGGATGGTTATTTAAAAAAATTACGATGATTATATATAATAATTAAATTATTATATTTAATAATTATTTAATAATTTTATGTGATAATAATTTTAAATAATCGAAAATAATTAAATTATTATTTTAAAAAGTAATCTAATTCTCATGTAAAGAAGTAAAAAATTTTTATTATCAAGATAAAATAATAGTTAATATTATTAATTTAATATGTAAATTAAAAATTTATTTTTTCTCCAAATTAATTGTAATTATTTTATATTATAAATTTTAATATTTTCAAACTAATATTCCTTTTAACAAATTCAAAAATAATTTGTGAGATTTCTTTAAATTTTTAATATATATAATATAATCTTTTGATTTTAATAAATTAATTTTATTTTTTAATTCAAATTATTTTTTTTACATAATTTAACCATAAAAATAGTTTATCTATAGATAAATATATTTTTTAATTTAATAATCTAATAACATTTTTATAAATTGTTATCTTTAAATAACATTGGAATCATTAACTTGGGTAGCTATTATCATGTGTATGATTATTTTGGTACTTTCAAACAATATAATATTTGATCTTTAGTTATATCAAACACAGTAAATTTTAATTACTAAAAATCAATAATTTTTAACTAAACAAATATAATTTTTAGATTATGAATGATAAGATAATCTTGATAATAAAATTATCTTGATGATTAAATTATCAGAATGATATTGAAAATAATATCAAACGCTAACTTAAGAAAATTTTCGTAGTGTATTTATGAATTGTGATCTATTTGCATTATAAAAAGAGTTAATATTGGATGTATTAATAGTGTATAAATTTTATTTATTAATTAATCAAACATATGATGACTCTCTATTAATGAGTAAAAAAAAAATTAAGTTCTTAAAAATAAATACGATGAGGCTATCATGCAATTATTAATATTTATTTTTAAGAATTTACCTAATTTTTTTTTATTTATTAATGATATGTTATCGTATAATTGATTGATAGTGTATAGCTTTTCTATAATATCAATACATCAAATAATAACTCTTATAAAAATGAGAAACTTCTTTTATATAAAATTTGTAAATAGATAAATGCTTAATCTTTCAATTCAAGAAGAAGATGTGATGCATCCTAGGAGTAGTGCAATTGAAATTAGCCTTATAGAATTCATACCTAAAATCACTAATATTGAGGAGGAAAAGATCTCATCTGACAATCAAAGATTGAACTTCAATTTATAAGCAATTACATACTCACTTTTTTATCGAGATGCATTTTTTAAAGGATAAAATTGCGAGGAAGGGTACTTTAGATTCTTGAATTAAACAATATTCCATGGTGGCACGGTCCAATAATCTTTATATCAATAGTCGTATGTGGAAAACTATATTAACTCCTCATAGAACACACAATCGACATCCTTAACAATGTAATAATCAATTTTGAGATAAAATCGATAGAAAGCACGTCAACTCCAAATAAACAATACGTAAAGGACATAGTCCAAGAATTCTTACATCTTATTCAGACGAAAGAGTTAATTACAAGTTCATCTTGAAAAAAAGATCAATAAATTATTAATTAAACTAATCCCGTGTCGGGAAAATCTTCATCTTATAAATTTGTAATAGTTTATTCGAGAGTTTTGTACGAATTTATCAAGTAATGAAGAAAATATTTTAAACATTTATCATTCGAAGATGAATGAATCATATAATTATGCATTGATTGGGATTTATTGTAATCCTTTAATGAGAATGAATTATTATTATTATTATTAGCAAGAAGTGGGGGAGGCATGGATGGTAGGCAAACTGCTAACATAATGTCCCTTTAACAAAGAGGCAATGAAGACAACGCTAAAACTGATTTGGAGGATCGCAAGGGAAGTTGACATTGCAGAATTGTAAATAATCTTTTCCTGTTTAAATTTTCTTCATTAGCGGATAAGAGAAGAGTTATAGAAAGATCACCATGCAGCTTTGATAAACATTTGATCTTGTTTGGTGATTGCAATGATGAGTTGATACCTTAGGATTATGTGTTCTCACATGCCTTATTCTGGGTCACGGTTTACGGTCTGCCATTAGGAATGAGGAACCAAGAAATTGCAAGGTGCACTGGGAACAAGGTAGGTTCTTTAAAAACAATTGATACAAGCTTAAAGAATGGTGGATGGGCAAGATTTCGAAGAATGAGAGTGGAAGTTGATATAACCAAACCTTTAAGGGGGGCGGCACTACACAACCAAACCTGTAAGGGGGGCGGTACTACTCAACACGGGACCAAGAACAAAGGATGTCTAGGGAAGACTAAGTTACAAGAGGCTACCGAGTTTCTGCTACATATGTGGAAGGCTAGGGCACGTTGAGGATGATTGTGAGAAGGAAGGAGAAGAGGAAGGGAAAGCTATGTCGAAGATCAGACAGTATGGGGTTTGGCTCCGAGCTTTATCGATAAAGAATAAGCCAACTTCTTAGAAAAGGGGGATGAAAGGAATAGGTAACGTAAGCAAGAGGGCACAACGGTGAGTAGCGAAAGACTGGTTCTGAGTTTAAACTTGGAAGTAATCACGATAATCATCGAGTGCATAATTCTCGGGATAGGGCAGGTAACAGTCACAGATTTTCTTGAGCAATGCATGCAGAACAACATGAAATTAGGAATCATGTGTTGAACACTACAAGTCAGAAAGTTTTAGGTGATGAAATGGGCCACAAGATTGAAACACTGGTGGGCGAAGATAGATTATGGCCCACAGAATCTCTTAATGCAGACACAAGGAAAACATGATGTTATGGGCCAACAAAAGAGGAAAAGAGATGTAAATTTTAATGAATTTGCATGCACAAAGGCTCTCGTATGGCTAAAGGATCAAATAGTGCCACACAAAGATAGCTTAAAGACATTAAGGAACGTATTTGTTGATGAAGGGAATTTGCATGGAAAAGAGACTCCACAATAGATGTCCCAGATGAATACAACGGGGGCTAATAGGCATCAACGCCCGGAATGAAAGATGTTGGCATGTGAAATAAGAGAGACAGAGATCGGAGAGAATGTCGAACTAGGGAAAATGAAGCATGTAAATGATAATACAGATGATATGGAGGTTGACTCTACTAGCTAACAGGGCAAGATAGATGAAAAAGCAACTAAGGAGGTTGACAAGAGTGGAACAGCGGTGACTGGTTACCAGTCCCACTGAGACAAATGAGATGCTTAGCCTGGAACTACAATGGGCTTGGGAACCCACGAGCAATTCGAGCTCTTTAGAAGATCCTGAAGAGAAAGACCTCGAGATGTTGTTCCTAATGGAGACCATTTTTTTATAACGTAAAAATGGATAGGGTTAGAAGATAATGCAGAATACAAGGGATGTTCAATGTGGAAGCAGAAGGAAGAAGCGGAGGGTTAGTTATGTAGTAGAAGGAAGATATATTGCTGAATGTACATAGTTCTTCAAAACACTACATTGACATGGACGTGACAGATGGAAAAGGAAAAATGTGAAGAATGATTGGATTTTTTGGAGAGCCAATGACTAGGGATAGACGGGCTGCATGGGATCTGTTAGAAGTTCTAGGGGAACAAAACACCCACACATGGCTTTGCTTGGGGGACTTCAACGAGATAATGTGGAGTAACAAAAAAGAAAAGGGTGGGCCAACTCCGGAATGGAAGATGGAGAATTTCAGAAAGTTGCTTGAGGAGACTAATTTGCATAACGTGTTATCAAGGATTGAGTTTTACATGGGAAAGAGGGAGGACAGAACCAAATCGAGTTCGTGAAAGGCTTGATAGGGCAGCGGCCACAAATGAAAGGAGCGATCTATTCCCACATCATTTGGTGAAGCACTTAACATGTCCTTTTTCATACCATAATCCCATTATCATGGACACGGTGGGGACGAACAAAGCTGGAAATGCAAATATGGAAGGATAAGAAGATAGTTTGAGGCTATGTAGTCGGTTGAACTAGAAGGCACAAAGATAATCAAAGAAAGATGGGCATGGTAGGGGGACAAGGTTTTACGAAGTAGAATGGAAGAGGTTCTGAACAGCCTTAAAACGTGGAGCAAATACAAGTTTCATAGTCTCAGCACAAATATTGGAAAACTTAATGATAACCTAAGCAAGGTACAAAAGTGGGCCACAAGTGGGGATACGTTTGTGGAGGAAATGTAAATGAAGGACAAGCTGAATTGTCTACTAGAA